AAAGAGTGTGAAATAAGCGTGGATAGACGAGTCAGGGTTTTTCTGTCTCGTTTAAAAACGGGTTCGTGAGCCAGCAACTCATCACGACCCACGTGTGCTCGACCAAGCCAGCTTGGCAAGCCACAAGCTGGCTCACGTGCCACCAAAAAAATGTTACTAACATTTTTTTTATATGGCTCGTGAGCCGTCCCATTATGTTCGCGATCCAGGCGGGTTGAGCAAGGGGCAAGTATTTTCTAACTCATTGAGTCTAAAAAAAGTTTATTAGATCATGAGGTTTCGGGCCGAGCCGGCTTGCTTTACACCCCTAGTTGAGATGCAGGAAAACGAGAAGGGAAGAGAACGCACCCGAAACGACCATGAGAGAGCGGTTGATTAGCCTGCTGTAATGTTTGCGGCTCTTCCTAGCTTCAGTCTCCGGGATACTCAAATGCGGATGCTCTGCTGCCATCAATATCTTGCGGAACAAGTTACTAAAATCACCTAGCTTCGAGCTGATCGGGATCGGAGCCTCGATTCCCATATCCTGTGTAACCTGTAAATTCAAACACATAAATGAAAGGTTTAAAAAGAGGTTTTCAGAGTTGCGTATGGTTTCTTCAATGGAGAATATGAAGAGTAACGTATGTACCCTGGTGGATTCTTGTACGGCCATGGGGAATGAATCAAGATCGTCCTTTGCAGCAACCATGAGGCAAGGAACCTCAAAGCCGGTGTCCTCCCCATGTGTTGCTACTTCCACAAGCAATTCAGTCGCTCTCTTATATGACAACTCATCTGAACTGGAAAAAGGAAAAAAGCAAATCATGAATTTAAAAGCCTTGTCTATATTGTTTATGGTCCAAAAGGGAGGAAATATCACTGGCTAGAAGCTATCTATCAACATTTCAGTAACGAGGAAAATACCTGTCATACACAAAGACAGCTATATCACACACAGCCAATGATTCTTTGGATGCAAGCAGTCCTTTAACCCCTTCTTCCGGTATTTCCTTCAGCACGAGAGTTTTCTTTCCACCCTGTGCTCATATCGGGGATATATATATATAGCAGAGATTATTATATAAAGATATATAATATATATATGGTTTATTCATTCCTACTTACCCCAGATTCATCAACCACATTCACTGCATAACGGTCATTGGTACCCGATCCATGATTGTCAGAATACGACCTAGATAATGGAGAAAGAGAGGAGATCAGAAGAAAATATCTAATAGAAACCTTGGGATTCTGACGCGTATGCAGCCCCAAAGCCTCCATGTGAAGAAATACACATAGAGCAACATTTTCTTCCGTATATGTTTGTGCAAGCAAAGGATCCCTGTTGTAAATTTAAATGACAGACCTTCCAAGAAAACAGTTCAGTAACGCAGATTTCCCAGCATTCTCGGGTCCAAAAACGAAGCACTGGAAAACTTTTCTTTCCGACTGTTGCTTCTTACGGTCTAAGCGTCTTCTCCTCGTAACACGGATGGCAGACGATGGATCGGCCGGGAAGCCAATGTAAATCAAATACTCCACACTCCTTGCTGGATCTAAAAGTGTCATCAGTGACCACTGCAAAGATTTACCAATTTCGAAAGTTTAAAACATTATCTCGTACAAGAAATCCACTCACTATCAAACCCGAAACTATCTACCATTGAGATTAAAAGAAAATAAACTAGATTCGAAGTTACAAAACACTCTGTGCATAAGATAAAGAAATTCACACTATCTTGGTACGTTGGTCAAGAGAAAAAAATAGGGCAAGAATGGTGAGGATATGCATTTGCATGCATGGGAGATGTCTCCTCCAATCTGTGCACGTGTGAAAGAGAGAGTAATGAATACCAGTGACAGGAAAGCATCAACAGATAATCCTCCAAGGGCAGTTTTCTCCGCCGCATCAACATAAGGAGCCTCCTTCCAAGGACTGCAATTTAAAATTATATTATAACACTAAAATGCAATGATGAAGAAAATAAATCGCGATGATATGTTCTATTTCTGGAAAATACCTCTCAGGCGCAGTCGAAAATAGATCCTCAATCTCTTGAGGTCTCAGGTTTTTGTCCTGGAGAAAACAAGTCCGAAGGTCAGAACTATCGAAACCTGCAACATTAAGCCTAAGATGTACAGACAAGGATGACTTACACCATCACCGTCAAACAAGTCATAGATTCCCCTCAGGAATTCAATAGCTACATTTGTCAGCTCAACACTCTACACAACGACAAACCAAATGAGCAATGAATAAAATCCATTTAGTGCAGAATTCCAAGGAACGTAAATTAATAGGACTACCGAATATACGAGGAAAAATCAGAATTTAATGCTTTGCATATCCATTTTCCATATAGCTCAGTGTTTTCCAGCAGTTAGGGTTCAAAATATTCTTGTTTCTGAAAAGATCTAGATTGAAATTCAGCATACAACTCTTCCCAGAATGAATTCTATTTATGCAAGTTACCTGATCAGATGCACGCTTGAATGCTGAATACGGAATCAATTCATCAGCAAGTCTTATGTCATTATTATACCCAAACTTCCTAAGAACAGTCCAGGTTGTCTCAAGCCGCCCTTTCTCAATAAAAAGTGCGTGTAGAAACAAAAAACCGGTCAATGTCAGTCCTCTGTCGTTGACTCCTTCTGGCAATTTGTCTTGCACAACCCTCTTAACACCTTCAATTTCAGAAGGCTGCAGCGGTGCATTGAAGCATTTGACCTGTTTTAAAAAACTTTTAGTTTTAGGCACTTAACAAAGTAGCTTCTTCGAAGACATGAGAATAAGCCTGAGCCAGTTCACAAAGAAGCAGCAAAAGACATTAAACACGGGAAAGGGGGAAAAAAGAGAAACCTGAAAGTCGTTCAATTCAGCATCGCTGAGAGCACCATCTCTGTCATGGTCGCAGAGAATAAATATACGCTTCAACGCTCTGACACACCGGGGTTTCAGAGACTGTGTTTCTTGATCAAACAGAGGTCCTGTGGGGTGAAGAACAGCTTTCTGTGCGTAGAAGAAAACTTCATGGGCCTACAGACAATTTGTCCTTTTTATAATTAGGATGATAGTGTAGAACTGAATTTCAGTATTTAATCCTCAAATGTAGGCGTCGGATCAAGTAGCTAAGTTTCATCTATTTCTGTTGAAAGTCCACTCTAGTTATCACAAAGATTTAATTTATGCGAAACGTTTACATATTAAACCTCCTTTAACTGCCTAAAAAGATAAATATCTAGATAAAAAAAATGGTAGTATACTAGTAAATTATCAATGTTTAGCTAAGACAACCACAATCAATCTAAGGAATAACTAGAAGAGATGGAACCTGGATTAGCTTCTGTGCAGAACACTCGATGCATGTCTCAATCTCCCGGAACTGTTGCATTATCGGTGACATCACCTGTTCGAGGCTAACCTGATTGTTGTCATCTCTCATGTCAAGCTTACACCCAGCTACTATGATAGGAACTTTCACCTATTCAACAACAGAACTAAAACCAATGTCAGCAAGAAAGCAAGGAAAGCTCAATTTATGCAATTACATTGAGAAATGGTTGTACATGCATATGTCGACCGCATGCATGTCTGCAAGAAAGTAAGGAAAGCGCAATTTACGCAATTACAGTGACAAATGGTTGTACATGCATAGTTTGAAGTTAATTAACTGGGCCAAAGAAAATGAACCTCTAATTGCCGAAGCTCCGGAAGCCAGTATTCACTCAACCGATCAAGAGTCTCAGGTCGATCGCAAGCATATGTCAAAACAACCGCATCAGCCAGCTTCAGTTCCTCTGCAAGCTTGCCTCTATCTTCAGGTCTGATATTGATTAAATACCAAACATATAATCAGCAGAGAGTGAAAGTTTTGAACATATTGACTTGTAATTGTTACAGATAGTTTCAACAAATTCTATTCCCGGTAAACTTCATAGTTTCTCTAGAGTGCCCACAACACAAATGAAAGTCTAACGCATGATAGTTAACCTCTAAATACCATAGCAACATCATCAGCTTAACAAAGATGTTGACCTCCAAAACACTCCATCCGCATAAAGGCATAAATCGAGTCAATAGTTAACCAAACCGGTAGATATACCTCGAGGAAGTGTCAACAATGGTGATTGGAATGCGCTCAGCAAAAAACTCAGGCGGCAACCTGGTATCGGGCAGAACAGGAGGGACGTTGGGGGGAAATGTATCAGTGGCTGCGGCGACAATCAAGCTAGATTTTCCAGTACCCTTTTCACCAGCCACAACAATCCGTACAGCAGTGGGCGAGCCAGGGATACCACTTCCTCCAGCAGAGGATTTCGCCATTGGGAACTACAAATACACCGAACATTTTCAGAAACAAACGAACATGATATGATACCCAGAATGCCATCCAATCCATTTTTAGTTAAGTGAATTTGCTGATACTCTACTCTGTTAGAGGATGAACATTCGCATGCCAAAGGACAGTGAATCCAAAGTGAAAATAACAGAGTCAAAAGCCCCCGAATTCTAGAGGGTCAAAATCAAGATTCAATACAGTTAGCTAAAGACCTATATATGATAACAAGAATGATGAACATGAGATGGATACTGCATCTTGAAAATCAGGATAAAGAACCCAGAAACACAAGCACTAGAAAATCAAATCAGAAAGCTTTTCGGCGAATATGGATTCTTTCAAGAATCACAGACAACTACTGAAACAGTTAAACAGCGACGAGGAAATAAACCTTGATTCAGACAAAGATCAAAGATAAACCGAGAAACGGGAAAGACCGTAACCTAAAAAGGAGCTTGAAAATGAAGGATCTATGGAGATGAAAACCCTACAAAAACCCTAGGATCTGGGGATATATGGGGGCGTCTGTGGAGGCTGCGGAGGCGGAGAAAAGGTAAGAAGCTCCTCTGTGTTTTTTCTTGGTTATCTGGATGTATTTTCCACTTATTTATTCCAGTGGCATTTCCGTGAATAGAGCCCTTGTTACCTTCTTGACGATATTGTTGAACGGTGAGATTTGCGCGCAGATGGAAATCTGACGGCTGAGATTGAGTTGGATGTACCGTTTGGATTGTCCTGGTTTTTTAACCTTTTCTGGATCCTACCTATAATTAAATTGAATCATGTATTAATCATCAGAATTGGAAAAAAAAAAAGGTCTAATTGTATCAATATATATATAATATATGTACTTTTTTTTATTAAAATAACAAAACTATATTGAGTTGCAATAGAAAGGCCTTCAGTTTAAGATGGTGGAAAGCATCAAAATACTAATAAAATCCCTAAAAAAATATGTTAAACTTTGTTTCATAATTATTTATGAAATTATGACAGAATATCAACACGATGATACTGATTTTGTTGACTACTCGAATATGCATGCAATGTTTTTCACATCATATTATTACAAGAGTTAACAGTGAAATCCTCACATGAGATATCTTTATAACAAAAATAGATTATCGGAGTCCAATAAATTTCAAAACATGAAATTATTACATCTTTAATAAAATAAGAAATCATCTATAACTATAAGCTCCTATGGTGGCCGTCAAAATGGGCTGTAAAATTGGCCCAATAACAAAAGTCCAATGGGCCGACATTAATCTGTTATTCAGGTCTCCGACGCCGTTTTGGTGGACTGTTGTGAAGCCACGTGGAAGCTGACTCAAAGAAAAATCGAATCCCGACACGTAATATCCGCTTGGAAATGCCGTTGCGTTGCCGTTTAAACCGAGACGCCGAGATTTCATTCTAACGGAGTTTGATTATTGCTTGCTCTACATATCATCGGAGTTTTATTTTCTATTTTAAAGTTGATATTTTCTGAGTTTTGTGGATTTGTCGAATTATTGAAAATCAATTTTGAACTGATGATAATTTACATAAATTAATTGAAGAAATTTATAAACTAATTCGAATTTCTAATTAATATAAATCAGACTTTTTAAAACTATTTATCTATAATTGTATCATAAAAGATTGTACTTGAAAAGCGCATGTGCCAAAAAAATGTCGTCGACAAAGTCAAGATTTTTTCATTATATATTAAAAAATTAAAGATGTTTTTCTTTTCTTGCAACATATATCGGAATGCCTTTTCTATGTTTCTTATTTTTATTTCATGTTTGGGTATATGTCTCTCCAACCTGGATTGAAATGCCCACATGCAAATCTAACGGCGAACGTTAACGGCGTTAATATCTCCTAACTTCGTCCGGGCTGTTTAAAATCCCAAGACGAACCAGCGTTTGATCGGCTCTTCCCATACCGTCTCCGTTGCCTCTTTCGTGAAAACTCTCTCTCTCTCTCTCTCTCTCTCTCTCTCTCTCTCTCTGCGTCGATCGGAGAGATATGGGTGTTGATCTTGAATCATTGTCGGAGGCGACATCTGGAGCCATAGGATCGCTTCTGAGCACAACTATCTTATACCCTCTCGATACGTGTAAATCCAAGTACCAAGCCGAAATTCGAGCTCGTGGTCAGCAGAGATACAGGTTTTTCCTCTTTTTCTCCGCTTGATTCTATGTTTTGGTCCGCTTTTTGTCATCGTTTGGTCTGGGCATGTTTCGTGTTCTCTTTCACTTTGATTGTGACGTGACGATGATGACAATTGTGGAATTGGAATTGTGTTTATGTTCTGTCTCGACGATTTTCTCTGAGACAATGAAAGAATTCTGGTGTTTCGCCTGCCGGAGGAGCTGGGTATCTGCTGAAAGCAGTGATCGTTTTTCGAATGTTATCTTTTTATCGTGTTCTGTAAGCGATTGATCAAACAAAAAATTGTAATTTTTTACCTTTTTAACGGTAGGATCATTCGGATTGGGTTTCTCAATGATTCTTCGTCTGGGTTGATAAAGAAACCTGCAGTTAGAAATAGATAACTTTCTGAGATTTATCAATCCTTTGGCGGAGATTTTTGAATGAGCTCGATATTATCTTGTGTTTATATTGATCGGTTTTTGATGGACAACAATCTAAAAGCTTTTCATAAAAAAAAAACGTAGAAGCTGTGACTTTTTGTCATCTCTGCTCATGAACTTAGTACGTTGTGTATCTGAAGTCTGCATTATCCAAAGTTTGAGATTAATGTTTCTCATGCATATATATACGTATATACGCTCTTCTATCAGATTTAGTTATGGTCTATAGATAGCTTTATCGGAATCTATAAGTTATGAGCAAATCTTGATTCTTGATTGTAATCCATGTGTAAACTTTTATATGCATACATTCACATTAATGATAGTTTTCGGATTGTGAAACTCTTCTTAGCGGTTTCAAGTCTGAAGAAACTTTGAACTTGGATTTTTTGCTCTAAGACCAGACATGTGATCCCCTTGTTTTCTCATTTTGTGTTGTTACATTACATGTCAGATACCTCTCAGATGTCTTGTGGGAAGCAATTTCTACACGACAGGTTCTCTCGCTGTACCAAGGCCTTGGGACTAAGAATTTGCAGTCCTTCGTTTCGCAGTTCATCTATTTCTACGGCTATAGCTATTTCAAGAGGTTATACACTGAAAGGACTGGTTCGAAATCAATAGGGACTAAGGCAAACTTGCTTATCGCTGCCGCTGCAGGGGCTTGTACTTCCATCATCACCCAGGTTCTTCCTCTGCAACCCATGTTCTGTTATCGAGTCTTTTTGCTACAACGAGTTTTCAGTTTTGTGTTGGAATGGCAAGGGCAGAAACTTGTTTTCTCTGTTATGTTCTATCGACTAATGTAGCTATGTTTGTATAAGTAATAACCTTGAGTCATGTTTGTTTAGCCTCTAGATACAGCTTCTTCAAGGATGCAAACAAGCGAGTTTGGAAAATCTAAAGGGCTTTGGAAGACCCTGACTGAGGGGACTTGGGGAGATGCATTTGATGGCCTAGGGATTTCTCTCTTATTGACCTCGAATCCTGCAATTCAGGTACTATTCTTGTAATAAACAATGAGATGGGCTTGATTAGCTCATTTGAAATTTGCATTTGTATTCTCTATCTGTTTTCTAGAATAACTTGACTGGCTGAACAATAAACCACTCTTGTAGTATACAGTGTTTGATCAGCTGAAACAACGCTCCCTTCAACAAGCAAAGGCAAAAGCCAAGACTGGTTCTTCCCCAGAAGTCCTCTCTGCTTTCATGGCATTCTTGTTAGGGGCAGTCTCCAAAAGCATTGCCACCGTCATCACATATCCAGCTATAAGGTATTAAAGCCAACGTTACCAGAATCCACAAGAATGGCCGAGGTCTTTTTCAGACTTCGTGGGGCAGAAATCTAAACTAAACACCTCTGGCTCTACAGGTGCAAGGTGATGATCCAAGCCGCCGATGACTCAAATGAAAATGTAGCTAAGAAGAAAGCCAGGAGAAGGAACAGGAGAACAATCCTTGGAGTTGTGTATGCCATATGGAGGAAAGAAGGGGTCTTAGGGTTCTTCAAGGGCTTGCAGGCTCAGATTCTGAAGACGGTTCTAAGCTCTGCGCTGCTACTGATGATCAAGGAGAAAATCACTGCCAGCACTTGGATCCTGATTCTAGCTCTCCGAAGAACGCTGTTTGTCACAAAGGGTAGATCGAAAATTGCGTGATTCTTGCAAAATCCGCTTGTCCAAACCGAGCAAGGCCGGTGGTTCAGGCAGGGTGGCATCAGCGTACTGTCTCTCTGCTCGTGAATTGGAGTTAAAGTCTCAGCTCACCAGTCTCTATTGGAAATTTTACGGTAAGACAGGAATTCGAAACAATTTTCATCCTGTTTCTTCTTTCGAGAACAAGATTCTGAATGCCGGTTGGGTGCAGATCACCATTAAATTTGTATTACCCGGATTGAGATTCTGGGAGTATAGATCCTTGCATTTTGTTATATAGGCATGTATTTATTTATAACTAAGGTTATGATGTCGAATGAAAGGGTCTTTAGCTTCAGGTTTAATAAAAGTGAGCTATCCTTTGTGCAGAATCTAAACGAAGTGATTCCACAAAGCCGAAAGCATTCTGCATGGCATTAACACTGTGCTGTGATCGTTGAGACCTCATGAGATTTGGATAAATATTCCTTTTTGGACCACAGAATTTTACTTTAAGAAAAAAATATATATTTTATGTAATCAGAAAATTACAAATAAATATTATATCAATGTCATATTTATTTTTAAAAATATTATATTAATTAAAAACACTTATTGGATGGGAGGCCCCAATTTTAGAAATTAGTAAAGTATTACGCCTTTGTAGGTACTCGTGATAAGATAATTTTAAAATTATTTTTGGTGTGTTGGTAAATAAATAGATTGATGTTAGAAGCGGACGTGTCAGCTGACGTGGGAACGAAGCTTCCAAACGAAAAGGAGGTTCTTCGGTTTCCCGTCAAAGCCCATTAGACCGACGTCGTCTAGATTGCAACGGCCATTTTCGCGTCTCGGCGACAGAGAGACAGACCGCGAGACAAACGTGGAAACTGAGAAGGTGAAGAAGAGAGCAAGATGATGTCCGGAGGGAACTACACGAGCATCGATAATCAGAAAGTCTCTGGATCCGTACCTGTAAGTTCTTCGTTTTTTTTGTTCTCCGCTTCGATCTCGAATTCGAATCCTCTCTCGTTTTGCATGTGTATGTATATGTCGGTGCACTGATTCGTGGCATTCTATTGTCTAATCTCTTTTGTTGTCTCGTCTGATCATATCCGGTTTGTTTGTTTTTTTCTGTTCGTTTGTCGTAGGCTGTTCCAGATCCAGGTCACGTCTCCGTCAAATTCACAGGTAAACAATGTCGTCTTGTGTTGTGACATTTCCAGTTGTGTAGAATGGAATGGGAGTGGAGCTGAGATTTGGATTTAGATTCTTTGTTTCCCCGGTCATTTATGTTGATTTAGTTAACACGAAGTGTTACCGAGGGGCTTGGAGAAGAATTGCTGTGGAGTTTGGATCTGGTTTCTTGGGTCAGCAGATTAGGGTTTAGCAGGTAGCAGATCCGTGGCTCGAATGTGCCATCTGGCTTGTTCTGTTTTTCTGTTTTCGTTGGGAATGCCATACAGCAAATGAAGATGAGAGTGATAGGGGAGAAAGATTGACAAATTTGGCAATTGCAAATGCCTTTAAGATCCGTGTGCTTTTGTGGTTTGCCATGGTTTTGCTCATGTTACGAAATAATGGATGGATGCATTGTTTACAGAGTCGAATCTTCAGACATTTCCTCCATCTGCAACTCAGGGCAAGATCTCCGTAGGTTCTAATCCTCCTCGAGATGCTGATGGTAAGTTGTGCCTTAGATTTAGGAATCTGTTGAATTTTGTTCTATTCCAGTTTCAATTAAGGAACCCAGTAGTATGTCATAGCCGCGAAAGTTGAGGCAACTGGAAACATATATATCTATTGTTTTATGTTAAGTGGCGAGCTGTTGGTCTTTCTAGTTCTGTCTATCTTATGGCTTAGTTAAGTTAAGAACATCGACTGATGCAGATACATTTTCAAGGCCTGTGAATGGCACAGATGAACCCCACTCTGGGGGTTGGCTACATAAGTTCACCATTGGAGCTTACAAGCCATACTTTGATGTTGACACCTCGGACGTAGTAGACAGACTGAGAGAAGCGCTATTTCCATTCAGAGGAACATTCACAGAAAAGACAGCCAACAACCCTGACCTCTAAGTGTAAGGCCGTCTCTTCTAGTTTTTGCAAATCGGAAATAAGCAGACCGATAAAAAGCAGTTGGTTTTAAATTTCCCCGACTTTCTCGACTTGATTTTGCAGGTATGGTCCGTTCTGGATCTGCACTACGTTGATATTCGTAGCGGCTTCCATCGGGACATTTGTCACATACATAGCACACAAGTGGAAGAAACAAGAATGGAACTATGACATCAATCTGGTGACTTGGTCTGCAGGAGTGTTCTATGGCTATGTCACTATTGTTCCTCTAGCATTATATGTTGTTCTCAAGTACTTTTCTGCACCCTCGGGCCTTGTCCAGCTGTTCTGTCTCTATGGATATTCCCTGTTCGTTTTTATTCCTGCATTGGTAAATTCCCTTTTATTTCTTAAGAAGTACAATTCCATTGCCACATTGAATGAGGAACCTGAGACTATGAAAATGAAAGCTTTCTCTGACCCTGCAGTGTCTCTCAATCGTGCCATTGGAGGTCTTCAGATGGGTGATTGCGGGTGTAGCGGGATTCATGTCAGCGACATTTGTGGCGTTGAATCTGAAAGCGCACATCAACTCGGCGGGAGAGAGATGGTTCTTGATCGTAGCCAGCATCTTTCTGCTGCAGGTCGCTCTTGCAGTAGTGTTGAAGCTCTACCTCTTCACCGTCACTGTATGAATACTGAGTGTGAATGTCATCATTTTACAAAAGGTACGTTTTCTGAATTTGTAGATCCAAATTTGTTCCCATTATTATTTTTTTTGTGTACCGTCAGTAACCTTAGTTCTAAATGGAAAAGAGTGCTGCACTGTTCCCTTACATTTGGTTTTGGGGAAAAGAACTAATGATTTCCATATAAAGATTCTTATAATTCTATTCAGTTGGATCATGGATTATAATACCCGAAGACGGGTGACATTTCATTTTGTAGAAACAGCGGAATACAGAGAAAATATCCAAAAGTAGAATGATTTACGTATCAAGATTACATATTTGAGTTCAAATATAAAAATGTGTTGGTAGCTGGTAGCATGTAATTTATTTCACATGGATCACCGGTTTCAGCATCGCAACTAAAGGGTGATGTGTGTTTTTGTGGCAGGAGTTCAAAATCTCTGGTATGATTTCCGTTGGAATAACCATACCTACCTTTTCCATAGTGCGCGTGGCCAGTGACGAACAAGACAGGATAGCTTATAAACAAATCCTGTGTGTGAAAAATTCAAAGCTTTGTGGAAAACCATTTCCCGCGGCATGATGAGACTGTTGACAATTATTTTCTTGCAAAGTCAAGTAATATTTGTCCCGTTCCAATAGAGAGAGAGAGATATGTGTGCTCCTTTGTTTGTTCAACAGTTGTGGTTGAGTGGGTGCCCTCGTATTACTGAAATAAAATCTCACTTAAAAAACTGAAGACTTGAAGAAAAGGGTATAAATGACTTTTAAAACTAAAACTTTATTTTGTTTTCTAAAAAAAAAAACAGGACAATGCCTCTATAAAAGGCAAACAAACCAAGGGAAGCCGTCGCCCACGATATATGACAAGTCAAATGGGTGATCTTTCCGCACTGATTGTGAAACCAATTCCCAGAAAGTCTTGCCCAGTAAAGTAAGTCAATATAAGTCACCTATCCTCCGCTTATATATGGAGAGAGGGACACAGAATGCCATCACTATAACAATCTCTAAAGAGGATGAGAGGCTCCATCGTTGTTCAAACCACCCTTCTCTGTTTGTTCTTCTCCGTTTCCAGTTTCCTCATTGCTTTTGCTTCCCCGACCACTGGTCTGTGCCTCCCCGACCAAAGGGATGCTCTCTTGGAGTTCAAACACCTTTTCCGCATACAGAAGCAGCCTCGATTTTTATTGGCCCCGTACAATCTTGAGAGGGATGTGACATGCTATCCAAAAACAAATTCATGGGGGAACCACAGCAGCGACACGGACTGTTGTTCCTGGGAAGGTGTCACGTGCCATCCCAAGTCCGGCGAGGTGATAGGGCTCGACCTTAGCCTCAGCTGTCTCCATGGCCGCTTCCATTCCAACGGCAGTCTTTTAGTTGGGCTGCCACGTCTTCGGACTCTGAATCTGGCTTTCAACCATTTCAGCTCTTCTCCAATCCCGTCTGAGTTGGGCAAACTGGTGGGGTTAACACATCTCAACCTCTCTTTTTCATACTTGTCCGGCCGAATTCCCACCGAACTTCTGCAGCTTCCCAAGTTGGTATCCCTCGATCTTTCTTATAATTCACTTTCCCCTGAGAAATCCTTTCTTAGTAAACTTGCCCAGAATTTGACTCACCTTGGAGATCTCCATCTCAGTTACCTAAACATTTCTGCTGCCATTCCCCAGAACCTCTTGAACCTTTCCTCCCTCACTTCTCTCTCTCTTGACCATTGCGGTCTGATTGGTGAATTTCCTGGCGATATTCTGCGAATGCCTTCCGTTCGATCCGTTGTTTTGTCTGATAATGAGGATCTGCGAGGCCACCTCCCTGATTTTTACGGTAACGACTCTCTCGTAACGTTGGATCTCTCTCATACTTCCTTTTCGGGTGGGTTATCAAAATCTATAGGCAACCTCAGGCATCTGAGAGCTTTGTCACTTGGCAGTTGCAAATTCTCGGGGAGGATCCCGTCTTCCATCGGAAACCTCTCGTATCTCACCACCCTCGACCTTCGAGAGAATGAATTTACCGGTGAGATTCCGACCTCCATTTCCAACCTAGTCCGATTGACGACATTGGCGGTTCATAGAAACAAGCTCAGCGGCAGCTTTCCCCTTGGAATTTTGAACCTAACAAAGCTGTCTCTTATAGATATCGGTGGCAACGAGTTCACGGGCTCATTCCCACCGAACATGAGTGTTCTCTCCAATTTGAAGCAGTTTTATGCATTTAGGAATTCCTTTGTCGGAGATTTCCCTTCTTCTCTACTGGAGATCCCTTCGTTGGCTGAGATTGATCTGACCGGAAACCAACTCAACGAATTTGGGAATATATCAGCCACATCTGAGTTGCAGGTTTTAGGCATCGGGGACAACAATTTCGGCGGACCCATCCCCATGGCGTCTATTGCAAAATTAGTCAACCTCCAACGTCTTGACCTCTCAGGGTGGAACACGCGAGGGACTGCCCTTGACGTCAGCCCTCTATATCATCTCGAGTCCCTCGGTGAACTCGCCTTATCAGATCTGAACACCACCACCGCACTTGACTTGAGCCTGTTCGCTCCTCTTCAGTCGCTGTTCGGATTGGTTCTTTCTGGCAACCATGTTTCAACCGCTAACACGACTCTGGGCTCTGATTTCCCGCCGCAACTGCTCTACCTGTACATGTCGCGCTGCAACATCACTGAGTTCCCCGTGTTCCTAAGAACCCAACGAGACTTGTTGGCTTTACAGCTTTCCAACAACAAGATCAAAGGCCAAGTGCCCGACTGGTTATGGAGGCTACCAGGCTTAACCTTCATCAACATCTCTCACAACTCTCTCAGCAGTTTCCAAGGATCATCATCCCAGCAATTTTTTCCCGAAGCAAAGTTTGACACAATAGATCTAAGTTCAAATGATTTCCAAGGGCCACTCTTCATCCCTTCTCAATACATTGCCTACTTGTCGGGATCCAACAACAATTTCACAGGAGAGATTCCCCAATCTATATGTGCCTTGAGATTTCTGAAAGTACTCGATTTATCTCACAACAACTTCGACGGCTCTGTTCCTCATTGTTTTGGAAATCTCAAGAGTTCCCCAGTGGTTGTGAACCTTCGTCATAACCAACTAAGCGGAAGTCTTCCAGACATATTTGTGGATGCCAACCAATTGAGAACACTTGATCTTAGTCATAACCGATTGGAGGGGAAGCTTCCTAAATCTTTGATCAACTGCAGTGCTCTTGAGGTTTTGAACCTGGGAAGCAACCGAATCAAAGACACGTTCCCATTTTGGTTGGCGTCATTGCAAGATCTACAAGTTCTTGCCCTCCGCTCCAACGAGTTTCATGGTGAGGTGTATCTTCCCGGCATTTCGTTTGGGTTTCCGAAGCTGCGAGTTATCGACATTTCAAACAATCACCTCAGCGGAACTCTACCGTCAGACTATTTTGTTGGTTTGGCCGCAATCTCTTCGATGGGGTCAAGTGATATCCCTCTGGAGTCGATGGTTTTTGATCATGTATTAAGTTCCTATTCCGACTCTATAGTTTTGACGAATAAAGGAACAGAGTTGGTGTACGAACGGATCCTCACAACCTTCACGACCATCGATTTTTCAGGGAATGCATTCAGAGGAGACATCCCCGAGTCCATAGGTTTACTGAAAGGGCTTTACGTGCTCAACTTGTCAAGCAATGCTTTCGCGGGGCATATCCCGACATCGCTGGCAAACCTCACAAATCTCGAGTCACTAGACTTGTCCCTCAACAATCTTTCTGGCAGAATACCTTCACAACTCGGGAACCTCACGTTTCTAGGGCGCATGAACTTCTCCTACAACCAGCTCACAGGTCCGATTCCAAAAGGCACGCAGTTTAGTACCCAAAGTAGTTCGTCTTTCGAGCACAATCTCGGACTGTGTGGCCCTCCCCTCGACCAAGGTTGTGGAGAAGTCAAGACACCAACACGCGATCCGTCCGTAGCAGAGGATGAAGATGAAGGGGAAGAAAAGATGAGTTGGATCGCCGTTGCACTCGGCTTGGCACCAGGCCTTCTATTCGGAGTGACTCTCGGCCATATCGGGTTTTCGTATAAGCGCGAATGGTTGATGAAGATTTGCGGCCTAAGTCGTTAACCCATTTCATGCCACTGCCAAGCCTTCTTCCCCAGGGCAACGTCTTTCCACGACACCCCTTGTATATATTCACTGTGTTCATCCGTTTGAAACATTCATTAGCGATGTGTATTAATTTATTTACCGTTGTTGTTTTTGCAGAACAGGACATCATTTGCTGTATGGTTACTGTTGTTCCAACTTTCTTTTTTTTTTCCGTCTTCCGTTGATTTAAGAGTTCAATGTTTGCAATTAAAATAATTGTATGAATTATATTTGGTACCGTCCGCCGTCCCATTGTACAAAAGAAAGAATGTTTTGTAAAGAAATTTGACAAAACGCAATAGTCATCATTATCTCATTTCACTTCTCTATGCCAAAAACATAAAACGAGACATTTCACTGGATTCAAGTATCTCAGAACACATTACCAAACCAAAATGATGATGAACTGAGCGTATATATATATATATAACCGAATCGTTCCTGTCTGAAACTCCGAGCAAAAATTCTGCAAAAGTTCCTCCAGAGATTCTACACAGTATCAAGCTTTCGACTTCTTGCCCTTGCCCTCGGCCGTGACGGGCTTGGCCTTGAAGGGCAAAAACGTCTTTCCGCCCATGAACGACTGCAGGACCTCGGGGACTTCCACGCCGTCTTCTGTCTGGTAGTTCTCCAGGATGCAGCAGATGGTCCTCTCCGTCGCTGTCAGGGTCGAGTTCAGCAGATGCACGAACTGCTTCGTCTGCTCATTGCTCTGCTTCAACAATCAACATAGAAAAGTCTACGACGTTAAAACATCGTTCCAATTGCTGGCTCTCCCATCTCTCGTCCTCTATGTTCCGCTTTCCGGCCAGCAAGATGGACAACATCGTCGGGACTCTCTTCGGATTGCCACAGCTTCGTCTTCGACCTGGATCGAAGCGAACCGGATCAACACAGACAGACCACGGCTACGGCTTCCACCTACAGTGTCTCCTACACAGAAAGAAGAAAGAACCGATAGATGCCGAGCGCTTCCACAGATAAGTTTCTCTCAAGAACCCTACCTCTCTGTAACTTCGATTCGATTAATTAGATGCTGGTTTTTTCAATTAGGGTTTTAGTTAAGCATTTTGTTTTTGGTTTAATCTTGTTGATCCAAACCCAGAACAAACATATAACCTTTGAACTGGATTTTCGGGTTGGGATCCCATTGTAGGAACCCACGTCTCGACAGGGTAAAACCCTAGATCAATTCACTCATCCTTTAGGATTTCTTTGCATGATTACACAGAGAATACAGCACAAAACTCTGTATACATAGGCAACGCCTAGAAAGCACTTGGCTTTTGCTTCTTAAAATCATCTCATTCTGATTTTCTTCATAATCTGACCTCCCCGTCCTCTTGATCAGTTAGGAACAAAAGTAACCACTTCAAAGCAGAAAACTTTATCCCTTATGCTTCACCAAACAAACATGTCTGCACCTCATATTGATGCCACTTCATCACAATCCCAATTCAGATTTCGCAATATGAGATTTGAAAGAATGAGTTTTCTGCATTGATTGTCAGATTATTTTCTTGCAAAGTCAAGTAATATTTCTACCACTAACATCCACTAGAGAGACATGTGGTCCTTTGTTGCTTGAATTCTCTTCAATAACTGTAGTGGAGTGCTGAAATATCACACCCTTTCTCAATAATTGAAAACTAAACAATTTTAATTATATAAAAATATAAAAGTTTCTGCACTGAATGTGAAACCATTTCTCAGAAAGTCTTGCCCAGTAAAGTAAGTCAATATAATGGCACCTATCTTCTCTGTTTATGTAGTGGAGAGAGGGAGATGGCCGATACAGAATGTACAAACCCATCACTTCGTGTAGAAGCTGTATAATCTTGAAAGAGGATGGGAGGCTCCATCATTGTTCAAAGCACTCTTCTCTGTTTGTCCTTCTCCGTTTCCAGTTTCCTCACTGCTTTTGCTTCCTCAACCAATAGTTTCTGCCTCCCCGACCAAAGGGATGCTCTCATGGAGTTCAAACACCTTTTCCACATACAGAAGCCTCACCTTGACGATGTTGCATGTTATCCCAAGACAAATTCATGGGGGAACAACAACAACACGGACTGTTGTTCCTGGGAAGGTGTCACGTGCCCTCCCAAGTCCGGTGAGGTGATAGGGCTCGACCTTAGCAGTAGCTGTCTCAATGGCCATTTCCATTCCAATAGCAGTCTTTTAACTAGGCTGCCACATCTTCGGACCCTGAACCTGGCTTTCAACGATTTCAGCGATTCTTCAATCCCGTCTGAGTTGGGTAAACTGGTGGGGTTAACACATCTCAACCTCTCTGGTTCATCCTTCTCAGGTCAAGTTCCGACCGAGCTTCTACATCTTACCAAGTTGGTATCCCTTGATCTTTCTTCCTATAATTCACTATCCATTGAGAAATCATTTCTCATTAAACTTGCCCAGAATTTGACTGATCTTAGAGATCTACATCTCAATTACCTAGATATTTATTCTGCCATTCCCCAGAACCTCTTGAACCTTTCCTCCCTTACTTCTCTTTCTCTTAAAGCATGTGGTTTGATTGGTGAATTTCCAAGCAACATTATGCGAATGTCTTCCATTCGATCTGTTAGCTTGTCTGAAAATGAGGATCTGAGAGGCCACCTCCCTGAATTTCATTTTAACGACTCTGTAGCAAAGTTGGATCTCACTCATACTTCCTTTTCGGGTGGTATACCAAACTCTATAGGCAACCTCAAGCGTTTGAATGAATTGTCTCTTGGCAATTGCAAATTCTCAGGGAGGATTCCGTCTTCGATCGGAAGCCTTTCATACCTCACCTCCCTCGACCTTTCAGAGAATGGATTTTCGGGTGAAATTCCGTCTTGGGTCGGAAACCTGTCATACCTCACCTCCCTCGGCCTTTCAATGAATGAATTTTCCGGTGGGATTCCGTCCTCCATTTCCAACCTAAACCAACTGTCCTATTTGGATGTTTTCAGAAACAGGCTCAGCGGCAGTATTCCCCTTGGAATATCAAATCTAACAAAGTTGTCTGGTATATATCTCAGTCACAATCAGTTGACAGGATCATTCCCGCCCAACATGACTTCCCTCTCCAATTTGGAGCGATTTCATGCATTTGGAAATTCCTTTGTCGGAGATTTCCCTTCTTCTCTACTCGTGATCCCTTCGTTGACTGAGATTGATCTGAGTGGAAACAAACTCAGCAACTTCGCCGATTTTGGGAATGTCCCCCCGACAACTGGGCTACAGGATTTATTCGTCGGTGATAACGATTTTAGCGGACCCATCCCGATGGCATCCATTTCAAAATTAGTCAACCTCCAACTTCTTGACCTCTCACGGTGGAACACGGGAGAGAACGCCCTTGACATCAGTCCTTTGTATCATCTCAAGTCCCTTGGATATCTCTACTTATCAGATCTGAAGATGACAACCGCACTTGACCTGAGCCTATTCTCTCCCTTTCAGAGGCTGGCCAGATTGGATATCTCAGGCAACCATGTTTCAACCACCAACACCACCTCCGCTTCTCAGTTGGAATTTTTGGTTATGTCGGGCTGCAACATCACTGAGTTTCCCCTGTTCCTAAGAACCATACCACATTTGTCATCGCTAGACCTTTCCAACAACATGATCAAAGGACAAGTGCCGGGGTGGTTATGGAGGCTACCAAGCTTGTATATTCTGAATATCTCTCACAACTTTCTCAGCAGTTTCCAAGCATCATCATCCCAGCAAATGCTTCCCGAATCAACTCTTCTTAGCGCAATAGATGTAAGTTCAAATGGTTTCCAAGGACCACTCTTTATCCCTCCCTCTCAATACATTGTTTATTTGTGGGGATCCAACAACAATTTCACCGGAGGGATTCCCCAATCTATATGTGCCTTGTCGGCTCTGGAACTGCTCGATTTGTCACACAACAACTTGGACGGCTCTATTCCTCTGTGTTTGGGGAATCTCAATAGTTCCCTAGTGGTTATGGACCTTCGTCACAACCAACTCAGCGGAATTCTTCCAGACATATTTGTGGATGCCAACGAATTGAGAACACTTGATCTTAGTGGCAACCGATTCGAGGGAAAACTTCCTAAATCTTTGGGGAGTTGCAGCAGTCTGGAGGTTTTGAATGTTGCAAGAAACCAAATCAAAGACACGTTCCCGTTTTGGTTGATGTCATTGCAAGATCTACAGGTTCTTTCCCTCCACTCCAATGAATTTCATGGTGAGGTGTATCTTCCCGGGTTTCCTTTTGGATTCCCGAAGCTGCGAGTTATCGACATTTCAAACAATCACTTCAATGGGACTCTGCCGTCAGATTATTTTGTTGGTTGGGACGCAATCTCTTCGATGGGGTCAAGTGATATCTTTCACGAGTCGATGAATATTGAAACTAATGGGAGTGGTTACCAGGACTCTATAGTTTTGACGAATAAAGGAACAGAGTTGGCATACGAGCGGATCCTCAAAACCTTCACGACCATCGATTTTTCAAGAAATGCATTCAGAGGAGACATCCCCGAGTCCATTGGTTTACTGAAAGGGCTTTACGTGCTCAACTTGTCAAGCAATGCCTTCATGGGTCATATCCCCACATCGCTGGCAAACCTGACAAAGCTCGAATCACTAGACATGTCCCTCAACAATCTTTCTGGCAGAATACCTCCGGAGCTCGGGAGTCTCACATTTCTGGAGCGCATGAACTTCTCCTACAACAAGCTCACAGGTCCGATTCCAAAAGGCACGCAGTTTGATACACAAAACAGTTTGTCTTTTGAACACAATCTCGGACTATGTGGCCCTCCTCTCGACCAAAGTTGTGGAGAACACAAGACACCAACAAGCGACGTGTCAGAAACAGAGGATGATGAAGATGAAGAGGAAGAAAAGTTGAGTTGGATCGCCGTTGCACTCGGCTTTGCACCAGGCCTTCTATTCGGAGTGACTCTCGGCCATATCGGGTTTTCGTATAAGCGCGAATGGTTGATGAAGATTTGCGGCCTAACTCTTTAACCCATTTCATGCCACTGCCAAGCCTTCTTCCCCAGTGTAACGTCTTTCCACGACACCACTTATATATATTCACTGTGTCCATCCATTCGAGACATTCATTAGGGATGTGTATTAATTTATTTACCGTTGTTGTTTTTGCAGAACAGGACATCATTTGCTGTATGGTTACTGTTTTCCAACTTTCTTCTTTTTTTTTTTCCGTCTTCCGTTGATTTAAGAGTTCAATGTTTGCAATTAAAATAATTGTATGAATTATATTTGGTACAGTTCGTCGTCCCTTTGTACAAAAGAGTGAATGTTTTGTAAAGAAATTTGGCCAAATGCAAGTCTTCATTATCTCATTTCACTTCTCTATGCCAAAAATATAAAACGATCCATTTCACTGGATTCAAGCTGTTGAAGCATATGAAAAGACATATTAATCTCTGTCTTTGCTGGAACAACATGAGAGCATGTGTATAATACAAAAAAATCAAAAGCATGGGCAAAGCATGGGACAAAGGAAAGCATGGGTCATTTCACATTAAAGAAATAGAGGAAAAGAAAGAGAGAGGGGTATATGGCAAAAGAGATGACGATACTTCAGAAATCCCTCCAGAAACGAAGTTGAAGAAAGTCTGCAATAGAGGAGATGGAGATCACTTCCACTGAGAGCTGATCGTGGGAAATTGGTGAGTGCAAAATGTATGGAAAACACAGGTGAGTGATTTCTGAGAGAGAGCGAGATGTACTTGAGGGGGAGCCTTCAAACAATAGGTGAACCGATCACTGTCTAGACGTGATCTAGAGTAACACGTGGTGTGCGCTGCACACAATGTGTTTAGGGCTGATAGAATTCCGTGTGATACTAGGTTTTTACTCAGGGGAGTAAAACAAAGAGGGTTGAGTGATACTTGGAAAAGTTTGAAGTGTACTTGGCTTGTATCAAAGGAATAGAATCAGTTTGGATGTTTTGACTTGTGAAATCGTGTGAGTTTGGTTTTTCACAAGCATATCTGAACACATTACCAAACCAAAACGATGATGAACTGAGTGTATATATAACCGAATCGTTCCTATCTGAAACTCCGATAAAAAATTCTGCAAAAGTTTCTCCAGAGATTCTACACAGTATCAAGCTTTCGACTTCTTGCCCTTGCACTCGGCCGTGACGGGCTTGGCCTTGGAATGAAATCGAAGGTGTTAGAATATCAGCAATTGTACCGCCTGATAAAATTCCTCAGAGTTCTTGATCATCTCCTCGTGCATGTCCCACGGATTGTTTCCATCAGGGATGGTGTGATAAGCGTCCCATGTTGGAAAAAGAGAAGGATTTAGGGCCAATATATAAGTACGGGTCAAACCTCCACTCTTAAGCTAGTTTTTGTGGTAGAGTTAGGACCTAAACCATGCAAAACTGTTCGATAAACGGGTGAACTCGGACAATACCCAGCGTGTCTCTTCCATTGGACCCGGCTTCCTTCCTGAAGCAAGACGAGTAACCTGCATATCTGTGAGCAACATGAAGCAGGGGAAATGTGTGAGTAACCTGTGTAGTGACATTTTCGGTCATTTATGTTGATTTAGTTAACACGAAGTGTTACCGAGGGGCTTGGAGAAGAATTGCTGTGGAGTTTGGATCTGGTTTCTTGGGTCAACAAATTAGGGTTTAACAGGTAGCAGATCATCTGGCTTGTTCTGTTTTTCTGTTTTGGTTGGGAATGCCATACAGCGAATGAAGGAGAGTGATAGGGGAGAAAGATTGACAAATTTGGCAATTGCAAATGCCTTTTAGATCCGTGTGCTTTTTGTGGTTTGCTCATGTTACGAAATAATGGATGGATGCATTGTCTACAGAGTCGAATCTCCAGACATTTCCTCGATCCGCAACCCAGGGCAAGATCTCCGGAGGTTCTAATCCTCGTCGAGGTGCTGATGGTAAGTTGTGCCTCGGATTTAGGAATCTGTCGGATTTTGATCTATTCCAGTTTCAGTTAAGGAACCCAGGAGATGGGAGGTATGCAAAGTTGGACGAATGTCATCTTCAAGAAGTATAGTTGAATGCCCTTTTATTAGTGAAATATTACACTCTTCTCCAATACTAGCCAAAGAGGGACCTTCTCTGCATTGTTTCTGAAATTATTTCTTGCAATGACTTTGCCAAGTCAAGTAATAAAGTATGCACTCACTTCAAAAAAAAAAAAGAGAGAGAGATCAAACCATTGGCCACGGCAATGACTGTCCAAAGTCAAGTAATATTTCTTCCACTAACATCCACTAGAGAGACATGTGCTTCCTTTGTTGTTTGAATTCTCTTCAATAATTGTAGTGGAGTGCTGAAATATCACACCCTTTCTCAATAATTGAAAACTAAACAATTTTAATTATAAAAAAAAATATAAAAGTTTCTGCACTGAATGTGAAACCATTTCTCAGAAAGTCTTGCCCAGGAAAGTAAGTCAATATAATGGCACCTATCTTCTCTGTTTATGTAGTGGAGAGAGGGAGATGGCCGATACAGAATGTACAAACCCATCATTTTCGACCTAAACCAACTGTCCTACCTGGATGTTTCCAGGAACAGGCTCAGTGGCAGCTTTCCCCTTGGAATATTGAATCTAACAAAGCTGTCTCATATACATCTCAGGGATAATGAGTTGACAGGCTCTTTCCCACCAAACATGACTTCCCTCTCCGATTTGGAGGAATTCGATGCATCTGGGAATCGTTTTGTGGGAGCTTTCCCTTCTTCTCTACTCGAGATCCCTTCATTGACTTATATTGATCTAAGTGGAAACCAACTCAGGAACTTCGCCGATTACGGGAACATCCCTCCGACATCTAGACTAGAGAATTTATACATGGGAGATAACAATTTCAGCGGACCCATCCCCATGGCGTCCATTTCAAAATTAGTCAACCTCCAAGTGCTTGTCCTTTCAAGGTGGAACACGGGAGGGGACGCCCTTGACGTCAGCCCTTTGTATCATCTCAAGTCCCTTTACTATCTCCACTTATCAGATCTGAAGATGACCACCGCAATTGACTTGAGCCTACTCTCTCCTCTTCAGTCGCTGTCCAATTTGGACCTGTCTGGCAACCGTGTTTCAACCGCAAACATTACTTCCGCTTCTGATTTCTCTCAGCAGTTGGAAGCCTTGTATATGTCGGGCTGCAACGTCACTGAGTTTCCCCTGTTCCTAAGAACCCAACGACATTTGCAAGTACTGGACCTTTCCGGCAATATGATCAAAGGCCAAGTGCTCGACTGGTTGTGGAGGCTACCGAGGTTATACCATGTGAATATGTCTCACAACTCTCTCGGCAGTTTCCAAGCATCATCATCCCAGCAAATGTTTCCCCAATCACAGCTTCAGAGAATAGATGTAAGTTGGAATGATTTCCAAGGACCACTCTTCATCCCTCCTTCTCACTCCATTCAGTATTTGGGGGGATCCAACAACAATTTCTCCGGAGGGATTCCCCAATCTGTATGTTCCCAGACATATCTACAATTCCTCGATTTGTCACACAACAACTTCGACGGCTCTGTTCCACGGTGTTTGGGGAATACCATTGGATCTCTCATTGTTTTGAGTCTTCGTCACAACCGACTCAGCGGAACTCTTCCAGACATTTTTGTTGATGCCAACGAATTGAGATCAATTGATCTTAGCGGCAACCGGTTGGAGGGAAAACTTCCTAAATCTTTGATCAATTGCAGCAGTCTGGAGGTTTTGAATGTGGCAAGCAATCGAATCAAAGACACGTTCCCCTTCTGGTTGAACTCTTTGAAAGAGCTACAAGTACTTTCCCTCCGTTCCAACGAATTTCATGGTGAGGTTTATCTTCCCGAGTTTCCTTTTGGATTTCCGAAGCTGCGGGTTATCGACATTTCGAACAATCACTTCAATGGAACTCTGTCGCCAGACTATTTTGTTGGTTGGGACGCAATCTCTTCGACGGGGTCAAGTGATGTTCCGCTGGGGTCCATGTCTATTCCAATGAATGGGAGTCAAGTGTTGTTTGCAAGGACTGGACCTTTCCAACAACATGATCAAAGGCCAAGTGCCGCACTGGTTATGGAGGCTACCATTCTTACTGCAAGTAAATATCTCTCACAACTCTCTCAGCAGTTTCCAAGCATCATCATCCCAGCAAATTCTTCTCGAATCAACTCTCCGCGCAATAGATTTACGTTCCAATGATTTCCAAGGACCACTCTTTATCCCTCCTTCCCATTCCATTCAGTATTTGGGGGGGTCCAACAACAATTTCACCGGAGGGATACCCCAATCTATATGCGCTCTGATGGCTCTAGAGTTACTCGATTTGTCACACAACAACTTGAACGGCTCCGTTCCAGGGTGTTTGGGGAATCACAATGGATCTCTCACTGTTTTGAATCTTCGTCATAACCAACTCAGCGGAACTCTTCCAGATATGTTTGTGGATGCCAACAAATTAAGATCAATTGATCTTAGTGGCAACCGATTGGAGGGAAAACTTCCTAAATCTTTGGTGAGTTGCAGCAGTCTGGAGGTTTTGAATGTGGCAAGCAACCGAATCAAAGACACGTTCCCGTTTTGGTTGGCATCATTGCAAGATCTACAGGTTCTTTCCCTCCGCTCAAACGAATTTCATGGTGAAGTATACCTTCCCGAGTTTCCTTTTGGATTTTCGAAGCTGCGAGTTATCGATATTTCAAACAATCACTTCAATGGAACTCTACCATCAGACTATTTTGCTGGTTGGGCCGTAATTTCTTCAATGGGGTCAAGGGATGTTCCTCTGGGTTCGATGGGTATTGTACTTAACTCGGGCTACTACTACTCCGAGTCCATAGTTTTGACAAATAAAGGGATAGAGTTGGAGTACGAACGGATCCTAACAACCTTCACGGCCATCGATTTTTCAAGAAATGCATTCAGAGGAGAAATCCCTGAATCCATTGGTTTGCTGAAAGGACTTTACGCGTTCAACTTGTCAAGCAATGCTTTTGCGGGTCATATCCCGACATCGCTGGCAAACATGACAGAGCTCGAGTCGCTGGACTTGTCCCTCAACAATCTTTCCGGCAGAATACCTTCAAAACTCGGGAGCCTCACGTTTCTAGCACGCATGAACTTCTCCTACAACCAGCTCACAGGTCCGATTCCAAAAGGCACACAGTTTGGTACCCAAAACAGTTCGTCTTTCGAACACAATCTCGGACTATGCGGCCCTCCTCTCGACCACAGTTGCGGAGAAGTCAAGACACCAGCAAGCGACGTGTCAGAACCGGAGGATGATGAAGAGAAAGAGGAAGAAAAGTTGAGTTGGATCGCCGTTGCACTCGGCTTTGCACCAGGCCTTCTATTCGGAGTGGCTCTTGGCCATATCGGGTTTTCGTATAAGCGCGAATGGTTGATGAAGATTTTCGGCCTAACTCGTTAACCCATTTCATGTCACTGCCAAGCCTTCTTCTCCAAGGTAACGTCTTTCCGCGACACCCCTTATATATCTTCACTGTGTCCATCCGTTTGAAACATTCATTAGTGATTTGTATTAATTTACGTTTGTTGTCCAACTTTCTTTTTTTCGTTTTCCGTTGGTTTTAAGAGTTTAATGTTTGCAATTAAAACAATTGTATGAATTATATTTGGTATCGTTCGTCGTCCCTTTGTACAAAAGAATGAATGTTTTATAAAGAAATTTGGCAAAACGCAATAGTTGTCATTATCTCATTTCACTTCTCTATGCCAGAAATATAAAACGATCCATTTCACTGGGTGTATATATAACCGAATCATTCCTGTCTGAAACTCCCAACAAAATCTTTCCCAGCAAAAATTCTGCAAAAGTTTCTCCAGAGATAACACAGTATCAAGCTTTCGACTTCTTGCCCTTGCCCTCGGCCGTGAAGGTCTTGGCCTTGTGTTAATAAAAAATGGGTCTGGATACAGCAGGAAAGAACAACAAAATCAATGAAATCGAAATAAAAACGTAAGAACCCGGATATAATCTTCTAGGCGTGATTTCACTTTCCTAAAACGTTATTCCCTCCCCACCGAGCAAAGGAGAATCCCGAGAATACGTTTAGAGATACAAAGAAGACCAGCAACGATTGATCTGCTCCTCAAACGTTGCCCGAAACAGAATAACCCGAGAAAGAAGATGAACAGTAAAAGATGGAGAAGAAGTAGCAAATTTCTTCACCAACAAGGCTCACAAATCTCTCAAAAATCAATTAGATTTCATACTCAT